AGCAGTATCCTCAGGATCTGTTTCTATATATTCCTGGCTTCTGATGGCATATATTAGCCAGCTCCCGGAGCTCTCTTGACCAGTGATCTACTTCCTCTTATCCTAAGAACTGTACTGACCCTAGTTACTGGTCTAGATGCAATGAGAGAAAGTTAAGGACAGATCTTTAGGAAGATTAGTATAATCTTTGGTGAAACATGGTATCCAGGCAATGAGAGGCTGTTCTCTTCTAGCAAAGGGTAAGGAGTGAGTTCTGTTGGCCTAGGGAGTTCATAAGAATCTCAGGATTCAAATTTTCAAGTGCATCCACTCAAATGTCCTCATCCTGAATCTCAGGATAGCATTTCTTCCTTAATAGGACCTCTGATTTTTACACAGGAAACATACCAGAGCTCTAAATTCAGTAATCTTTATAAATCTGCATATTTATGACAAACCTTGGGTATTATTTTCAACACAGTCTATAGAATGAGATTCTCCTCATAGAGGTCTTAGGACTTTTGTACCATGCCCAACTTATTTGGCCTGAGCCTGTCTTTTTCTTTATTCATGGCTTCTTCATCAGTTAACTAACTTCCCAATTCTCATATTTCTAATTCAAACATGAAAGCTATTGTATAAGCGAGGGCACCCCTTCCATCTGTACCTTATCTTAACACACCACAAGTAAGAGTCTTAGTTTCTGATGTTGCAGCACACCAGTTGTCACAAATCCACTGGCTATAACTATGGGTCCTAGTAGCCTTCTGACAAGTAACCGTCCAATTCTAGAATCTCACATCCTATGGATCTGCCTTTTAAGGAACACTTCTGGTACCAACTGTCCTTGACTCTGAGATAAGAATTTGAGTGTGAGCAGTTTATCTGGGATACTGTCCCAAAATGTGAGTGCATGGTGAAGGAGTGGGAAACTAAGACAGGAAAGGGTTAAAAGCAATTCAAGCATATATTAATGGGTGAGTGTGACCATTTGAGCAACCAGGACACAATTCTACTGTGGCCTGTCTGAGAGGCACTGTTAGACACCTCACAATTATCCCATGAGGACTGGGGGAGCTGTGAGACATAGTCACAAAACATCTCTCATTGGTTAACAGTTGCTTCCGGCCTGCTCCTGAATGGGCCAAGCACACTCCTGTAAAGTAGAAAGGCATTAGTGTATTTAGGAATTGTCACCAGTATAACAGAAGATAGATTTGCATTTAATCCTTGCCTTAGCATCTGTTTTCTAGGGAACCTGGATACAGCAGATGCTGATGGCCCCACCCTACATCCCCTTGTCCCACCAGTGTTCACTGGCAGCTACAGTAAACAATATCCATCTCTGACAGTTTCCTGCTTTAAGTGTTGTACCTCACTTCTTTTCCTGACAGCTTTCTCCTGCACCATGGAATAATATTCCGAGGTGTATTTCACATGACTTCTTCTGTGAGATAGCCCCAGTAGCCCACAGTGGGAACTTGCTCAGTAACATGCTTTTTTGTGTGCTTCCAAATAAACTAACCCCACCTAAATCCTGGTCTTATCATCTACTTTTTTGGGAATCCAAAGAAGATAGTACGTAAGACTTTATGTTTGTAGTAGGAGGTTAATTCTACAAAATTATAAAAATATATAGATATAAAACTCAGTAAATATATTAGGTTGATAAATTTGACTATCATCAAATTTAACTTTTCTTTTTAACAAAAAAAAACTTCAAAAGACAATCAGTAAATTGGAACAGCTGCTATTTGTCTCCAAATGGCCATATATACTTAACACATGTAGATCTTCCTCCAAGTTTAATCAGACTGTATTCTTGGTTCATGCATCCCTGGTTCTGTGGCTCCACGAGATGTGCTGCTCCTCTTTCTGTCCCGGCTGGTGCACTGTCAGGCTTTCTCCTGGTCTGCTCCTAGAGCGCCTCAAAGGGACGGCCACAGAGTGACAGAAGCACACAAGTACACACATAACATTTCACAAGGAGATGCCTTTCTAAAGGTAGGATGTTTAACCTCTATTGAGAGAAAAATTGGAGTTTTCCAGGGCACGGGTAGGGACGGGGGTGGGGAAGGGTGGTAAACAGCATTTTGGAAATGAGAATTACATGTACAGATGTGCAGACACATGACACAACCAAGTATACTCAAAACAGAAGACAGCCAGAGGATGCCAAGTGTGCAAAACATAATAGAAAACGGTATCAAGAATGCTGTTTGACTCAGTTTACAAAGAGTGTCATTTAGAAGTTATCTGGACCATATATAGAGGGTGCCTGATTAGATATGTATTTTCTAGAGACAGGATTTCTAAAAACACTGAATAGACTGAGAAGACAAATTGGGGACAAAGAGACTGGAGGACTAGAAGCAAAGAGCATTGTAAATACACAGTATTTTAAATATTCAGGGCCCAGTTTTGAGTAGGAGCTTCAGTGGTTTTAAAAACAGGACAAAAGGCCAGGCCGGACGTGGCTCAGCGGTGGAGCATCGACCGAGGATCCAGGAGATTGCGGTTTGATTCCCAGTCAGGGCACATGCCCGGGTTTCGGGCTCGATCCCCATTCGGGGGCGTGCAGGAGGCAGCTGATCAGTGACTCTCTCATCATTGATGGTTCTCTCTCTCTCTCCCCCCCCCTTCCTCTCTCTGAAATCAATAAAAATATGTTTTTTTTTTAAAAAAAAGGACGGTTTATTTTTACTTTTCCTAATTAATTTCATGCAATTAATTATATTGTTCCTTATTGCGTATTATGCACTGTTGTATGTTTTGGGATAAAACANATGGTTTTTTTTTTAAAAAAAAGGACGGTTTATTTTTACTTTTCCTAATTAATTTCATGCAATTAATTATATTGTTCCTTATTGCGTATTATGCACTGTTGTATGTTTTGGGATAAAACAGTGTGCAAAACAGATAAAAACAACCCTGCCCTCATAGAGTAAGAGCAGACAAACTTGGCTAGAAAACAGAGAGGGTACAGTGCCAGGAATTTTTATTAAACAACAATTTGTTTACAATTTAACAAAAATTTCTTTCTTTTGGTTACCAAATAAACCCAAGACTTTGGGTGGAACAAGCGATACTATCATCATCATTTTCAGATTCTGAAGCAGAATATTAGAAATTTTAAGTAATTTTCCCAACTTTATTACATCTCTTTTGATAGTAATAGGCACTGCCACTACAGGGAATCCAGTCCTGTGCGTATCCATCTTCTGGGCACTGAAAGGATGATGTCCCATTGCACCTCTCTGGAAGGTCACATTCATTGACCTGATTTCCACAGAATTCTGTTGATGGCATGAACTTACAGCCTTGACTTGTTCTGTGCTTATCACTGGGAAAACATTTCCACGATTCCAAATTCCAATCCCAATCAAAATCACATAAGTACCTAACTGCTGAAAAATGGTATCCACTATGCTGACAAGAAATGTATCCTCTGTACCTTTGAGAAATTACTTTGGGAATAAATGGAGAGGCAAGACTCACCCATGGGTCTTCAGATGTCGGTCTCCTGGCTTTCCTGTGAGTCATATGTGTACTCTAGAAACACAAAGAGCACCAACTCAGAGGGAAACGAGCTTTACTTGGTGCTTACACAATGAACAGTAGTTAGGAAGATGTTGGAAATTACCTTTCCTTGATGGCAATGTTTCTGATATTGACTGAAAGGAAGGTCTCTTCATTTTTCTGTAAACTTAGAAATGTGCTTCAGGCATGTAACATTTCTACTCCAAGAAACTAAATCTTTATAATGCATAAGATATTAAATTAGAGGCATTTTCTTAATCTGAAGGATGAGCCTTCGTCTCCTTGGGACCAAAATGTTTTTGAATATACATAAATACAGTAGTCAACAGTAGAAGTAAAAGAGACACACTAAGAATCATAACTAGTGGAAAGAAAACTCCTTTTCTGGCAGATGCTGGGCCACTGTCAACACTACCTCCATAGCCTCTGAACAGGCAGTAGGGCGGGGACCACCCATAGCCACAGTGGCAGTGATGTTTATTATTGCAGATTCCCTTCATGTTGCAGGTCTCAGGCAGGCAGACTTGTGACAGGAGAGGGAGACTGACACACTTCTTGTGTATGCATATCTTTCTTGAACCACACACGGTGCCATCTTTCACTTCACCCATGTCAGGTGTGTCCATCCCTAAATGATAACTGATACCCCAGCAGGTGGCATCATTGATGTGAGTGTGCTGCAAAGTAGAGTGATCTCTTAGGTGGGGAATGTCTCCCACATTCTCACACTGAACTCTCCCACAGAGGATGTCTGCGGTATTACATTTGAGGTATGCCGTGCCAGTTAGACCACAGTGGCCAAAACGGTTTCCCTGGGAGTTGATTTCTTTATAGCAATTCTGAGACGCACTCTTTGCGCCTTCACCAAAAATCTCCCTGCACTGTTTGTCATGGCCACTACATCTCTTCTGATAGCAGTAGGCACCGTCACTACAGGGAATCCCATCCTGCACATATACATCTTCTGGGCACTGATGGAATGTCCCATTGCACCACTCTGGAAGGTCACATTCACCCATCTGTTGTCTGCACAAAGTCCCTGATGGCATGAACTTGCAGTCTTTGCAACACAGCCCAAAAGCACAAGCAGCACCAGGCCTCAGAGTGCAGTTCAGCAGACAACAGGGGTGATGTTCACACTGCTTTGTAGATCCACAGTCACATTCCTCTTCTCCTTCAACTACATCATTCCCACAGCGCTTCAGCATAAGGACTTCCCCTGGACTTGGAGGATTGTGCAGACATGATCCCTGGTTTAAAGTGGTCTTCATAAAATCTGCATAACTACAGTTGGTGAATCTCTCTGCTGGCACTCTGATAGCATTCATGATGCAACCACTTTGCCCACACAAACAGAATTCTTCATCATGCTGCATGCCCAAAGTATGGCCTAACTCATGGGCCACGGTGAGGGCAAAAAGAGACCAGGGGTCTCCTTGGAAATTATTAACTCCACAGTCAATAGGAGGACGACATATTCCTGCAACATAGGCTATACCAAGTGTACGTATAAGTGAATTTTTAATGAAAATATGTGCAGCATCATACTGTAGCCGCAAAAGACTGATTTGTTTCCACTGAGCAAAATCCTCCAGAACTTGTTCTATGCTTGTCATTGGGAAAACATTTTCATGATTCCAAATCTCAATCCCAGCCAAAATCACATAAGTACCCAACTGCTGATAAATGGAGTCCACTATGTTGATAACAAGAAATATATCCTCCTGCACCTTTGAGAAGTTACCTTGGGAATAAATAAAGAAATTTCGATCTACCACCACAGCCAGCTCCAGAAACCATGAGTGGGTCCACCAGTTATCAGAATTTTGTTTCAGAGTTGTTTTCTCAGCCTCTTCAAATCCCAGTTGTTGGTGTGCTATATTCTTCTTTGTTAAGCCACATCGAATAGGTGGGAAGTGTGTCTCATTAGTGTTTATCTTATACACCAGGTGTTCAAATGTAGCAGAGTGCCTTATTGGCTCGATTTCATAAGCAAGGTCATTTATCTGTAGCATTCCTCGAAAGCCTCCAGAACAGGTACTGAGGGCAACCAGGGACTCGGGGACACCCTGCACATAACCATGATAGTAGCAGTCATCAGGAACAAAAGGCTGATCCTCCTGGAGGACATGCTGGTCCGTGTAGGTGAACACTGGTAGGTGTCTGGAAGCCAAGAGCTTCTTGACCCTCATGTTGACAATGTGTCTTTGGCCCCCAAACTGAAGGCTGTAGGAGAGCCAGCCCGGAGCCTTAGCATCTCTGCCCCTGCTGGGCACCTTCAGGGGGACCACCACTTCTGGGGAGCTGAGGCATTGGGAGAGCCTAGCCTGGGAGAGGCCAGAAGGGGATAGAGACACTCGAAGCCACAGCAGCAGGAGAACTACTCTCATGGACTACTCTCATGGAACTACTCTCACCAGCCTCCATTATGGAGCTGTCATTATGGAGTCATCTGTCCAGAAAAAAAGTGTGAGACACTGTTGGTCTGGCTCCTTCCTCTGAGCTGGTCATTGTATAGAGCTGACCTTTAAGGATCTGAATCCTGGCAGAGTTGGCCATCAGGGCTGCAGTGCTGAAACTGAAAATNACCCTGGCCTCACCAGCCTCCATTATGGAGCTGTCATTATGGAGTCATCTGTCCAGAAAAAAAGTGTGAGACACTGTTGGTCTGGCTCCTTCCTCTGAGCTGGTCATTGTATAGAGCTGACCTTTAAGGATCTGAATCCTGGCAGAGTTGGCCATCAGGGCTGCAGTGCTGAAACTGAAAATAAAAAGAAGGGTGGGGAAGGTGGTGGGATTGGGTAAGGAAAGTGGGAGAGAGAAAGAATCAAGTCATGAAAAAGGATTAATGAATCATGAAAATGCTCTGGATTTGCTTTCAATAAATGGGGGTGGGAAGTTAGGGTTATAGATAAGACAGTATGGGCCATATGTTGGTAACTGTTGCAGTTAGGTGACAGGTACCTGGGTTTTCATTTAATCTGATTAGACTTGCATAGGAGATATGGAAATGAAGATGCCTGACCCACTACTACCAATCTCCTGGACTCTGAATTCACTCCTATCAATACTCCTTTACCCTGATTCAAATCCCTCTACATCATCCATCTGTACAGCTTCCCCTCTGACTTCTGCTGTCTTTTCTTGATGACAAAGGAAGAGGGAGAGAGAGAGAGAGAAAGAGAGCCAAACTGAATCCTAAACTTCTTCATAGAGCTCCCCATATTTACTTACCTTACTAAATTTGAGCTTCAGCAGAATTTACTGCTTTCCCTAAAGCTCACTCTAGAGAAATCCAATTCTCAGAAGCCCTATGTACCTCATGGTCTAGAGCCTGGGTTCCTATTCTAGACAGCCCACAAAGTCATCTCCAAACCATTCATCCTGCTACATTTGACTGCACTAATTTTTAACCTTCCTTTCTCACTTTTCCATTAATCATTCCCTATTATTCTTGTACAAACTTCAAAGTCTGATACGTGAATTATTCGCCACCCAAAATCCCACCTTCATCATGAACAACGATAGCAAGTATATAGACAACGCATCTAAAAACCAGAAGGATTTTTCAACATTTTTTAACCTCTCTAATTCAGTTTCAGTGTACTTCAGTTTACCCACCCACAGTCATAATCTATACCTTGTCACCAAACGAAGCAAAACCAAACCATTTCTTACATCCTAAGCAACTTACCAATAATTTTAATCATTCCAGCTCTCCCTTACTCCTGCTATACCTATTCCTCAGATTCAAAAGAAAACCCACATGCTTTTGTCTTTCATTATCTCCCATTTCTCTCAATCTCATGTCCCTGTCTTCAGTTCCATTCCGTTTGAACCTAGGTGACCGGCTCTATCACTTCAACCACTTTATGCCAAAACCTTTAACTCCCTAAAGCTCTACAGTAAACTCTAATTTTCAAAAGAAACAAAACTGGTTTAATTCTGTCATATACTATATTTCCATTTCTGTGTCAAAATTCCCATATACCACTGCGGGGGAGAATCTCAAAACAATTTGTTTGTGAAAATCTTAAGAACGGAATGCATAGTCAGAACTAGAAAGATTTGTGCTGGCTCCTCACCCTAAGGGATAGAGACAAGAACTCAGCTGGTTACTTCAAACTCTCCTACGCCACGTTGCTCTTTTCTCCATTCATTCTCCTGGACATTACATTTACACATCCTTAATATTCTGAGTTCCTAATTTACATATAGTGCCAGTAGTCCATACCTTCTGGTTGCCTTTCAATCACAGTTAAATAGTTAACCAAGTAGATTTCATCTTTTCTTTCTAACATATAGTATTCAAGTTTATAATTTATTCTAGACTTGCTATGTGGATGCTAGTAGAGGGGGAGGACTTGTTTCAGTCTGAACAATATCCTTAGCATTAACCTACCTAGAGAGCTTGGATCCATATGAGCACATTCCATTGCTAATGGATAGGCACTTTATTCCAGGTGCAAGTAGCTCACAAGAGAAAAACAAAGTTCATAGATAAATTCAACTATATAAAAATTTCCAAGGGCAAAGATCTCTAAATTGGGTGATACTTTTCTTTATCTCTCTTGATATGTTTGTTACTTATCATGGAGTGGCAGTTGTGGATGGAATGTCGGAAGGGCTAATAAAAATACAGTGTGAAGACGGCTGATAAGATATGATAAACCATGTCATAATATTTTTCTTAGAGCTCAGAGCAGGCAATAATAGGAAAATGCTTCAAAGAATCTTTGCACCATACTCTTTGCCCTTGTTATATTATTTCTAGGACCCCAGAGACCCAAACTCCTAAAGGAACATCATTCTACCATCAATAATGTAAAGTGGTGCCATTAAAAATCCATATGCTTGCCCAGCCGGTGCGGCTCGGTTGGTTGAGTGTCATCCCATGCACTGGGAGGTCACTGGTTTGACTCCTGGTCAGGGCACATGTCGGGGTTGTGGGCTTGATCTCCAGTAGCGGGCATGCAGGAGGCAGCCAATCCATGTTTCTCTCTCATTGATGTTTCTATCTCTCTCGCTTCAGTAAAATCATTTTTAAAATTCCATATGCTCTAACATTATTGGGATCTCAAAATAGACAACAGCCCTCCTCCATATGTTTTATCAACTCTTCCCTTCCTCACAGCTCTTTCCAATTCCTCAAGACTACTACCTACCCATATCTCCTCTTATTCTATCATGCTCAAATGCACTGTTTTCCCATTGTCTGTCATTAATGTTGACTCATTAGCAAGTCATGAAATCAGTTTAATGGGTCATAAGCTGCAGTTTTTTTCTTTAAGGAAATTGAATAAAAATATCAGAGGACATTCCGAGAAATTCCTTAGCAACTCTTATGCATATGGTGCCAAAATTTGGGGGGTGTTTGTGTATGTGGCTACTGGGGCACAATATAAAATGGATTTCTTACTCTGGAATATAGTAAAAATATATATCTATAGTGATGCCAAATTCAAAGACAAAATGGCTTCTAGGATTTTCACCAGTACAAACCCATCTGCATCCAAGCCCATTTCTACTTTTCCTTTACCCCACTCCATAGTCCAGTCTCAGGAGACGAGTGATCCTCCCCCGGATTCAGGTAGTAGCCCCTCATCTTCTGTTCCAAGATCACATCTACGTATTTGAGGACTGAGCCTGTCAATTTTCCCTACTTTCAACTCTTCCCTATTTACCAGTTTTTAACTGACAGTTAGGGTAAGCAATTCATTCTGGTTTGCCCTGGGCTGTCTTGGTTCCTGGCTTTTAAACTGCAAGTCCCATATCCCAGCAACCCCTTCAGTCGTAGGTAAACTGGGATGGTTAGTCACCCTATCCACAACACCTTACCCCACCCATGCTCAAGGAGAACAAAACAAAAATTAAACTTCCCATTATCCAACATAATATTCTGGCTATCAACTTGTACAGAGTCAAACTTGGTTAATACCCTTTTAAATTACCATATTCAATATATTTTTAATTATACAATTTAAAACCTTGCTATTTTGTTTTATACACATGTTTTTTAAATTGCATGTCCCATTATAATGTTTTTAAGAAAACTATGCTCACAATGGTTTATGAGAGAATTTATGGTATAATATTTGCCAAAATATATCATCTATAAGATTTCAGCTATATAAATACTGCATAGAGTAAAAACTAATTCAATAAAATATTAACTCTAACTCTGGGTAGATTCTCTTTTAAAGGGATATAAAATCATGATTTCAGTTCAGTTCCTGGAACAAAGTCAATTTTCAGATACAGAATCTATTGACTAAGGAGATCAGTGGGTTCCTAAGAGGAAGGACATATCAACATTATAACAAACATATAATGTAACCATTATGTTTGTTCTTCCCTCAAGAAACCTACAGCCATTTTCGTGGGAGTCTGTATGCCAGAGGTAAATATTTAGAGTTGAGAGGATTATTGGGTATAGTGTCTGCACTGACATGGATACCCAGAGCTCCAAAAAATCATCATGGACACTGTTACAGTGGCAGCCTTTGGACATCAGTCAGTAAGTGGAGTCCTAGCTGACGTAGAGATTGCGGTGGTTCAGTGGTCTTTGGGACACCCTAGGTAGATAATTGGGATTGACATCTGCAGCAGTTAGAATAACGTCCTCATAGGGTCTTTGGTGTCATCTTACCACAGGTAGAAGTTCTTAAATGGCCCTCTACCCCTGGCCAGTGTAGTAAATCAAGGACAATATTGTGTTCTGTGAGGGAAGGTGGACCTAAGTGCCATCATTAAAGACTAGAAGATGTAGCAGTGGTTGCCTCTATCAGATCCCATTCAAATCACCAATCTGGCCCCTACGCAAAACGTATTGATCCTGAAAAATGACCTTAGATTACATCAAGCTCTAGCCAGTAGAATCTCTTAGTGTAGCTGCTGGGTCAGATGTGCGGTCATTGCTAGAGCAAATTAGCATGGCCTCAAGTGGAAGGCATGCAGCCATTAATTTAAAAATGTGACAATTTCTATTCTATTTTTTTTTTTGAGATTTTAAAAACACTTTATTTAATAAAAATTAAACATACAAAAACTGAAATTAACACATTAAAAAATTCACCATCTTCCATTAACAGGAAGACACTTTTCTATGCATATATTTGGCTTAAACTCAAGTCAGGATAACTATGTTTACTTAACACCAGCAAATGCTGACAACTTGATCTAATTAACAAAAAATTGCAAACTCAGCTACATGAACATAATATACACGGACATTACGGTCGGATTAATGCACAAGAAATACAACGAATTTTTAATGATGAAACATTAGTACTCTTGCTCATTAATTTAGCCTTGGTTTTTTTTTCGTTTGTATTTTTACAAAAATAGTACCCACACTGTTTACTGGGCTATACATCAGCTTTTTGTTTTCTCATATAAACATTTCACATCCAAAAAAATGGTACCACTACCATAAGTGAAAAACCAACAGGAAAAAAGCAAATGTACAAAAAAAACACCCAAAAACATTAGAAAAGTTAGCTGGTCCTAAAACATGGTTTCTTACATAAAACTAAAACTCAATGTAAGTAAAAGAGCTGGATACATTTTAGAGATGGCCTAACAGGCTGAGGAAACAAGTTATTGAAGGAAAACCTCAAAATGGCCTTTGTCATTTATAAATTAACCTATTTTTAGGCTTAACTGGCCAACAGCCAAGTTTAAGTGGGAGATAAGAAAAAAAATTTAAAAGATCTCTGGAAGTTTGGCGTTTTGCCTTGATGTTCCAGTGAATTGCTAGAATATGTGGCAAGTTCAAAGCTTCTCAAAGTTCCAGGTTAGGACTTCACAAAAAGTATGGGCCTGATATTACAAAGAGCAATAATTCATCTAACTGCTGTATTTAAACAGCCATCTATCTAGAAAAGTTGCTTTACCNGCTCACAAAAAGTATGGGCCTGATATTACAAAGATCAACAATTCATCTAACTGCTGTATTTAAACAGCCATCTATCTAGAAAAGTTGCTTTACCCAACAAACTGAGGAAACTGGTGGTAGCAATGAAGCAAGTTAAATGAATAGCGGTTATCAAAGCCATTTCTTCAAGCTTCATTCTACCGAAGGCAAACAATGACGACAATGGCATCTGCCTCACTCATCTAACAAATAATTTACCTTTAGAAAAATATAAGGATAAAAAGTAAATGTAAAGCCCTGCAGAGATGAAATCCAACTGCTTTTCTGATTATTNTGAAGGCAAACAATGACGACAATGGCATCTGCCTCACTCATCTAACAATTTACCTTTAGAAAAATATAAGGATAAAAAGGTAAATGTAAAGCCCTGCAGAGATGAAATCCAACTGCTTTTCTGATTATTAAGGCATCAAATGTCTAACATTATATTTAGAGGTATCTTGATACTGTGTCATAGGCTTGTCAGCAATTCCACAAGTTCCTACTCCAACTTTGCCAGTTACACTCTCATGTGAAGCAAAAATACTCCTCTTTACCTGGACTTTTTTGTTTTTAGAATAGGCCCTTGTTGTTGAACTGCTGCCATTTCACTTTCTGGTCCTCTCTCTCCTGCTCAAGATCTTTTATTCCCTGTGGTTTTTTCAAAGCTTTCTTCTTTTTATATTCATGCTGCTGGGCAATCATTTCTTTTTTGGACATAGGTTTGCTGCCACTGTCCTCCTTTGCCTTCCTTCCTTCTTCTACAGGCTTGAGGTTCAACAGTGAGTCACTTCAGCATTGCCATAGCCAGCAAAGGTGATTGCAGCGTTGCTGTTTTCTTCATCTGTCTCCTCAATCNATCTTTTATTCTCTGTGGTTTTTTCAAAGCTTTCTTCTTTTTATATTCATGCTGCTGGGCAATCATTTCTTTTTTGGACATAGGTTTGCTGCCACTGTCCTCCTTTGCCTTCCTTCCTTCTTCTACAGGCTTGAGGTTCAACAGTGAGTCACTTCAGCATTGCCATAGCCAGCAAAGGTGATTGCAGCGTTGCTGTTTTCTTCATCTGTCTCCTCAATCTCCGCTTCATAACACTGTCTATCTTCACTCCAGATTGCCATACACTTGTCCCCTACGTTCCAAGAATGAGTGGGCTGAGTAGAAGCAAAACAGTCTGAACTTGCAAGAGTTTCTGAATGCTGAGTTGACAGAAGGTCTTTGGTTAGTTCTGTAACTTCTTGTAAATCTTTCTTCAATTTTAGGAAATCTTCATTCTCTCCATTTCCAGACAGTGCAACTTCAACTTGCTGAAGTTCAGCTTTGTAGCCTGCCAGCTGTTTTGCTAGATCCTCTCACATCTTGTGTGGGGTTAGGGGCAGGGCAGCCAGAAGGGGTCAGGGCAAATGAGCCCAGGGGTGGCAGCAGCAAGAAAATCTCCTGAAGGAAAACAAGGCGCCTCATCTGGAAAGAACATCTGCAAGGAGGGGGGAGGGAGGGGAGCTGGGAGCCAGGCACTGGGAGGAAGAAAAGACTAATAATTTCTATTCTCATCAGAAAACAATTTCATAAAGAGCCAGCCTTCAGGTGCCATGGATAAACATTTGGAACTTTGCCCCGAACGGTTATATTCACTTGTCCCCCTTGCCTTTGCCCGGTAAGAACTCCATTTCTCCATATGCCAAAGCCCTAGAAATAGGGTTAAATGAAATTTAAGGCTAACCCTGAGCATTTCTGCTCTTATGTTATAATTAGGAAAAGTCCAGCTGTGTTGACTAGGCTGTAAGGGATCTGTCTTGAATATCTGGCACCAATTAGAAACCACTTTTAAGGAATACACATGTTAGGCCTTAACATGACACAGCCACCTCTTTAGAAGTCATGGTATATAACCTGAATTGTCAATGCTATTTAGAAACATTTTAGACTTGCAGGCCACACCCATCCTTGGGTCAAAATCTTACTTCACACTTTTGGAGAGAGCATGATAACCAAAGAAAACACACACACACACACACACACAATCCAACTTACTGTAGTATAAATTAAACAGCCTGAGGGAAACAACAGGCCCTTAAAATGCAAAACAGGTCAGTGAGGATATGTACCAGTACTGGGAAAGTGGGGAAAAGAGGGAAAATGTTACAGGGCCCAGAGTTCACATGCTTTGGTAAACAGGCTGCTGAAACAGAAACAGAATTGCTACCCACCCCCCACCTCCTACCCCCACCCTCAAGAAGACAGTCTAGTTTCAACAATTGCCCATGGATCAGCAAGAAATAACCCTCTTAGGAAATGGTCATCCAACCTCGATTTTAGGAGATACTGATGACAGTTGCTGATGGAGCGCCCATATTTGATAAGAGTAAAGGAAGCAGGGGCTCAGACCCATCATGGATGAAGGTCCAGATCACTCGTCCAGAGAAGCCAACCGGACACAAAGTGCTGGCCATGAGAGCTCTATAAAAGATGGACAAGGTACAGTGTCACAGACTGGCGATCCTACCGATTCTCCACTGCTGCATCCTTCCTCCACCATTTGGTGGCTGGCCTCATCTGCATCCCATATTTTCAGAAAGAGATGTAATCTTTGGCCTGAGGCATCTAAATAGCACAAACACAACACACCACTTGTCAGACTCTGTTCTAGTGCACTGTTTCTGAAGTGACCGCTTCCTGTTTCCTCTTACCTAAAATTTTGTCTTCATATATACATGGTGTCCCCCCAAAACGTATACACACTTTAACAGCCCATAGCTCAATTTGGAATATTAAATGTATTTTAATAAAACACGGCCTTTATAATTATTCAAGAATGTATATACACTTTTTCGGAAACACCCTATGTGTCAGACAGTCGGTGCCATTCTGTAATTTATGGACAGGCTGTGATGAGTCAATTCCCGTGATTTTGAATGTGAGATACTATGACACAATAACCCGAGGCCTTAGGAAATGATGGATCAGTCATCAGTGGCCCCTTCCTTATGTGAAAGCTTTACAATAAGGAGGGATGCTGAACTCATCATACTTGGAATACCCCAGCTTTAGCACAACCGAAGAAGAACAAAAATGATAAGAGTTGGCCTGTAAGTGCTTAAATTGGGCTGGCTTTTCTTAGAGGCTTTCTTGGGGGTAAAAAAAGAAAAACAGAAAAGCAATGTTTTTAGTGATTTCAGAGAGATGAAGGGGGAGAGAGAGGGGCAAACATCGATGATGAGAGAGAGTCACTGATTGGCCGCCTCCCGCATGCCCCCCACTGGGGATCGAGCATGCAACCCGGGCATGTGCCCTGACCGAGAATCAAACTGTGACCTCCCGGTTCATGAGTCAACCACTGAGACACACCAGCTGGGCTTAGAGGCTTTTTTGATCATCACACAACCTTAGAAAAATCTATTTCTTCTCTGAATGTAATTGTGGACCTTGAAAATGTAAACTTCAAAGACTTCAGGCAAGATCACATAAAGAGCAGGTGCTAGCACTACTGTTGACATCACGGGCCTATGACACAGAAGTTTTTGATCTTCCTACTCTGTGTGCTGAGGGGTTCTCTTTATGCTTATTTGACACTACCAATAAAATGAACAGATAACAAAAATCTAGCACATAACCAATTGGGCAAAACTGTTATAACAAAGGGCACACCACTGCCCACAAGATCTCCTACAGGAGCATCTCCAAGACATAAGAGCCAACATCTTAAGTAAGTACAGGCCCTCTGGCTAGCGAATCTAAGAGGTCCTACTGGCATCTACAGGAATTTTAACAATATGGCCACACATGATATGTTAAGTGAACTGAAACACACAGAATGTTTTTCAATTTCCAAGTCACTTTATTTCAAGATGACAACCTTGGGATGAATAGCTGTAGCATGATGCCATTCTCAGAGTGATTCTTGATCGATTCTCCCAGTAAGTGCCAATGTGATTTTTCTCCATTGTGTAGGTTCCAGTTAGCATTTAGTAAAGTTCAGGGGATTCTGTTTCTTTCCCAGTTTACTTTTTACCCCTTCTTTTATCATCACCTTCATCATCATCTTCAGTTAAGTATGTAAGCCAACCCAAAAGGAATGCAAGCAGTAAAAGGGCAGATCGAATAGAGAGCGAAAGTAGGGCGTGGTTTACATTAACACTTACTTTGCCGCGAACACCTGGTTCTCTGTCAGGTGCAGGGCCACTGTCCACACTACCACCTACCTGGTCCTGTTTGGTTACATCCTGGTGGATTCCACCCTCGTTGACAGTGACAATGTTTCTTATTGTTGCACACCCCTCTGAAATTGCATGTCTTGACATCACAATCATAACCCATGTCTGCATGAAAAGTACACTTCTGTTTCACACAAAATTTTCCTGGCCCACATGTTGCACCATCCATTACAAGTCCGAGAGCTGGTTCTTCTGAGCCAAGGTGTAGATCATATCCAAAGCATACTTCTTGTTGAACATCTTTTACTATTAGGCGACGAAATGTAATATGTTCACCTCCACCAGGTACTTCTGGGACATTACGACAGTGCAACATTCCGCAAAAAACATCATCTGGTTCACATTTCCCAGGTCTTTTTCCGTAAAGTACCTCCACCAACCCACAGTTTCCAAATCGGTCACCTACTGCATTCAATTGCTGATAGCACGCTGGAGAACCATCTCTTACTTCGTAGCCAAAAAGGGCCTGACGCTGCATATCAAGGTCACTACAGTTTCCGCTCACACAAACGGCAAATCCTGAACACGGGGTTCCATCCTGGATATAAACATCTTCTGGACAAAGAGCCGTTTTCCCGTCACAGTATTCTGCCAGATCACAAATGCCAGACCTCTCCCTACAAATCCATCCAGGTTTAGCAGGTTTACAATTCAAACAGCAACCTCCTCCACTGCATTGACTGCCAAGGGAGAGGGCACAATTGGTCTCACAACATTTATCTTTAGCACAGTCTCTAAAGGTGCCACAGTCACATTCTTCCTTCTTATTTATGATCTGGTCACCACAANCTGGTCACCACAATGAGGAGCTATATAAGGAAAATTACCATATGGTACATTTTTATCAATCAGACAATAGGGAAAGATAGACAGACGAAACTGGAATCGTTCATAGGAACAGTTGCTAAACATATCAAAAAGACCTGCCTTAGGAGCCATGACACAGAAGGTCCTTCGAAAACATCTACAACCAGTTCCATCATGTCCCATGCCCAAACCATGACCAAGTGCATATGCTGAAATAGAGGCAGCTAAAAATATATGATGATTTGCTACAAATACACCCATTACCCCCCAGTTGGGGTTGCATACTCCATCATGGTGGCTAAGATATATACCTCCAAACAATTTATGTCCTGTAAGAAGCAATGAAGTAACATGAGGAATTTCATGAAAAATCCTCCAAAAGTTCCACAAACCAAACTGTTGTATAAGCCTATAAGCATTCTCACGACGGGTTACATCCGTAGGATCCGAACGTTTCCATAAGCACATAACGTGTATGTGGATGACTAGTTGATGTTGAAAATAAATGGTATGCATTATGTTGTTTATCATCACCACGTTCTCTATTACCCGTGTCATATTACGGGACATCGAGTATAATGAGCTAGTAACTGTATAGTGAATTTTCGCGTCTTGCTTATGGGTCCACCACAAATACACGGGCACAGCTCTAGGGTTTTCAGNGAAAAGCAATGTTTTCAGTGATTTCAGAGAGAGGAAGGGGGAGAGAGAGGGGCAAACATCGATGAGGAGAGAGAGTCACTGATTGGCCGCCTCCCGCATGCCCCCCACTGGGGATCGAGCATGCAACCCGGGCATGTGCCCTGACCGAGAATCAAACTGTGACCTCCCGGTTCATGGGTCAACCACTGAGACACACCAGCTGGGCTTAGAGGCTTTTTTGATCATCACACAACCTTAGAAAAATCTATTTCTTCTCTGAATGTAATTGTGGACCTTGAAAATGTAAACTTCAAAGACTTCAGGCAAGATCACATAAAGAGCAGGTGCTAGCACTACTGTTGACATCACGGGCCTATGACACAGNAAATGTAATTGTGGAATTTGAAAATGTAAACCTCAAAGACTTCAGGCAAGATCACATAAAGAGCAGGTGCTAGCACTACTGTTGACATCACGGGCCTATGACACAGAAGTTTTTGATCTTCCTACTCTGTGTGCTGAGGGGTTCTCTTTATGCTTATTTGACACTACCAATAAAATGAACAAATAACAAAAATCTAGCACATAACCAATTGGGCAAAACTGTTATAACAAAGGGCACACCACTGCCCACAAGATCTCCTACAGGAGCATCTCCAAGACATAAGAGCCAACATCTTAAGTAAGTACAGGACCTCTGGCTAGCGAATCTAAGAGGTCCTACTGGCATCTACAGGAATTTTAACAATATGGCCACACATGATATGTTAAGTGAACTGAAACACACAGAATGTTTTTCAATTTCCAAGTCACTTTATTTCAAGATGACAACCTTGGGATGAATAGTTGTAGGATGATGCCATTCTTAGAGTGATTCTTGATCGTTTCTCCCAGTAAGTGCCAATGTGATTTTTCTCCATTGTGTAGGTTCCAGTTAGCATTTAGTAAAGTTCAGGGGATTCTGTTTCTTTCCCAGTTTAGTTTTTACCCCTTCTTTTATCATCACCTTCATCATCATCTTCAGTTAAGTATGTAAGCCAACCCAAAAGTAATACAAGCAGTAAAAGGGCTGTTCGAATAAAGAGCGCAATTAGGGCGTGGTTTATATTAACACTTATTTTGCCGCGAACACCTGGTTCTCTGTCAGGTGCAGGGCCACTGTCCACACTACCACCTGGTCCTGTTTGGTTACATCCTGGTGGATTCCACCCTCGTTGACAGTGACAATGTTTCTTATTGTTGCACACCCCTCTGAAATTGCATGTCTTGACATCACAATCAAAACCCATGTCTGCATGAAAAGTACAATTCTGTTCAACACAAAATTTTCCAGGCCCACATGTGGCACCATCTATTACAAGTCCGAGAGCTGGTTCTTCTGAGCCAAGGTGTAGATCAAATCCAAAGCATACTTCTTGTTGAACATCTTTTACTATTAGGCGACGAAATGTAATATGATCACCTCCACCAGGTACTTCTGGGACATTACGACAGTGCAACATTCCGCAAAAAACATCATCTGGTTCACATTTGTGAGTCCTTTTTCCATAAAGGACGTTCACCAACCCACAGTTTCCAAATCGGTCACCTACTGCATTCAACTGCTTATAGCACGCTGGTGAACCATCTCTTACTTCGTAGCCAAAAAGGGCCTGACACTGCATATCACGGTCACTACAGTTTCCTCTCACACAAACAGCTAATCCTGAACACGGGGTTCCATCCTGGATATAAACATCTTCTGGACANTGAGGGTTATTCAAATTCTTTCCATCTTAGAAAAACCCTGACCTTGGTTTCCGCCTGGTCTTCAGGCATTCCCTGATAGGCTTCAACCGAATGAAGCCTTTAACCTGTATCTGAGGCATGTACATCTTTGTTTTTTAAAATAACTTGGTGCCATTACATGAGAAAGGTTGGGCAAACCCCAAACACTGGGTGGCTGGGTCAAGAACAGCACCTATCAAAGAACCCTAACTTCCTTGGGTGGGGCTGCAAGTCCTCCTCCTGGTCTCTGTTCTTTTTTATAGCATGGAGATTGCAGGCTGCCATTCTTCTGCAGGTCAACCCTCTGCCAGACTCATGTCAGTATTTGCCTGCTTTTTGGAGTCCTTTGGATGAACAGAGAATCAGGCTTACTGTAAGGTCGGGCAAGTCCCTCCTTCTATGTCAGTCTTCTTTAACTAGGGGAAACCCGTAATCCGCCCAAGCCCTGGTCAGATTTGTGCTAGATCTGTGGTGTGCCACAAAGTTCCTGACTCTATTACTTTCTTCTGAAAGTGGCATGATTTTAGGAAGTACAGTCTTGAACTGCAGGGGCCCTTTGGTTTCTTGGGCAGGTCACACCTGTGTAGCATGCCACCTTAGAAGAGAGGGTATTACAACAGCGATCACACCACGGGCCGCTTACTTCGGTTGGTCCAAAGGAGGCAAGAAAGAAAGCAAGAAAGATTTTGAACAAATTCTAAGACTTTGAGGCTTCCTTTTAAACAACTTTAGCCTTCTTCCCCTCCCAAAGAAGTTGTCCTCCAGTCTACCTCTGTAACTGTGTGTCTCATAGCCCCACTCCTTTCTCACCTCCCTCCTATCCTGATCCCTCTCTTCCTTTCAGCCCCACTGCTCCTCTTCCTCACCTTCTGCAGCTCCCCCTTACCTTTGTCCTGGAACTTCACCCTTTCTTGATATGCCAAAGCCCTACAAATAGGGTTAAACGGAACTTAAGGCTAACCCTGAGCATTTCTGCTCTTATGTTAACTGGGAAAAGTCTAGCTGTGTTCACTAGGCTGTAAGGGATCTGGCACCAATTAGAAAACACTTTTAAGGAATACACATGTTAGGCCTTAACATGATACAGCCACCTCTTTAGAAGTTATGGCATATAACCTGAATTGTCAATGCTTTTTAGAAACATTTTAGACTTGCATGCTACACCCATCCTTGGGTCAAAATCTTACTTCACACTTTTGGAGAGAGCATGATAACCAAAGAAAACACACACACACACACACACACACAATCAAACTTACTGTAGTACAAATAAAACAGCCTGAGGGAAACAACAGGCCCTTAACAAATGCAAAACAGATCACTGAGAATATGAACCAGTATTGGGAAAGTGAGGAAAAAAGAGGGAAAATGTTACAGGGCCCAGAATTCACATGCTACGGTAAACAGGCTGCTGAAACAGAAACCGAATTGCTACCCACCCCCTATCCCCACCCCCCAGGAAGACAGTCTAGTTTCAACAATTGCCCATGGATCAGCAAGAAACAACCCTCTTAGGAAATGGTCATCCAACCTCGATTTTAGGAGATACTGATGACAGTTGCTGATGGAGCGCCCATATTTGATAAGAGTAAAGGAAGCAGGGGCTCAGACCCATCATAGATGAAGGTCCAGATCACTCGACCAGAGAAGCCAACCGGACACAAAGTGCTGGCCATGAGAGCTCTATAAAAGATGGAGAAATTACAGTGTCACAGACTGGCGATCCTACCGATTCTCCACTGCTGCATCCTTCCTCCACCATTTGGTGGCTGGCCTCATCTGCATCCCATATTTTCAGCAAGAGACCTAATCTTTGGCCTGAGGCATTTAAATAGCACAAACACAACACACCACTTATCAGACTCTATACTAGTGCACTGTTTCTGAAGTGACTGCTTCCTGTTCCCTTTTACCTAAAATTTTGTCTTCATATATACAGGGTGTCCCTCCAAAACATATACACACTTTAACAGCTGATTGCTCAATTTGAAATATTAAAGGTATTTTAATATAACAAGGCCTTTATAATTATTCAAGAGTCAATATACATTTTTTTGGAAACACCCTATATGTCAGACAGTCAGTGCCATTGTGTAATTTCACAGGCTGTGATGAGTCAATTCCCGTGATTTTATATGTGAGATACTATGACACAATTACCCCAGGCCTTAGGAAATGATGGATCAGTCATCAGTGGCCCCTTCCTTATGTGAAAGCTTTACAATAAGGGGGGATGCTGAACTCATTATACTTGGAATACCCCAGCTTTAGCACAACCAAAGAAGAAGAAAAATGATAAGAGTTGGCCTATAAGTGCTTAAAATGGGCTGGCTTTTCTTAGATGCTTTTTTCAGGGGGATAAGAAAAAAAGAAATGCAATGTTTTTAGTGATTTCAGGGAGATGNTGCTTTTTTCGGGGGGATAAGAAAAAAAGAAATGCAATGTTTTTAGTGATTTCAGGGAGATGAAGGGGGAGAGAGAGGGACAAACATCGATGAGGAGAGAGAGTCACTGATTGGCCGCCTCCNATAAGTGCTTAAAATGGGCTGGCTTTTCTTAGATGCTTTTTTCAGGGGGATAAGAAAAAAAGAAATGCAATGTTTTTAGTGATTTCAGGGAGATGAAGGGGGAGAGAGAGGGACAAACATCGATGAGGAGAGAGAGTCACTGATTGGCCGCCTCCCGCATGCCCCCCACTGGAGGCGGAGCATGCAACCCGGGCATGTGCCCTGACCAAGAATCAAACTGTGACCTCNAATGATGAGAAGAGTCACTGATTGGCCGCTTCCCGCATGCCCCCCACTGGGGATCGAGCATGCAACCCGGGCATGTGCCCTGACCAAGAATCAAACTGTGACCTCCCGGTTCATGGGTCAACCACTGGGACACACCAGCTGGGCTTAGAGGCTTTTTTGATCATCACACAACCTTAGAAAAATCTATTTCTTCTCTGAATGTAATTGTGGACCTTGAAAACGTAAACTTCAAAGACTTCAGGCAAGATCACATAAAGAGCAGGTGCTAGCACTACTGTTGACATCACGGGCCTATGACACAGAAGTTTTTGATCTTCCTACTCTGTGTGCTGAGGGGTTCTCTTTATGCTTATTTGACACTACCAATAAAATGAACAAATAACAAAAATCTAGCACATAACCAATTGGGCAAAACTGTTATAACAAAGGGCACACCACTGCCCACAAGATCTCCTACAGGAGCATCTCCAAGACATAAGAGCCAACATCTTAAGTAAGTACAGGACCTCTGGCTAGCGAATCTAA